CTTTAAGAAGCAAATAGCATTCTGTCAGGCCCTTGAACACTTCACATCTATCCCAACCTTCTGCAGATACTGACATACTAGCAGCCAGAAGAATGGCTGTATTGTTTACATGACTTAATAAGAAACACAGTGTGCAGCAGCCTGACTGAATTACAGAGCAAGCAGTAGACTATTCACACCCCAGAAGCACTCAGGACACCACCTTGGCACCACATGGGTGCTGAAGCAAACACAACAAGGGCCACAGTGTGACCTTTTATTTTGGATATCAGCCACCGCAATGGCCCAACTGTAATAATTTCTTACCAGGCTACCGAGCACAGACTCAAAAAGATGGATGAAAATTCTGGGAAAGGTTCCATGAGCTGATTAATTCAGATTAAAACAAATCAAACAATCCTAGTGGGTTTGGCTCAAATTCATAACTACATATCCGTGCTATAACTTAAGGCAGGGGTTCTCAAACTGTGAATCAGCAACCATGGAGGTCACCAAACAAATTTAGGCGGGGGAAGCATGTTTTATAGGCTTACGTATGTAAAGCAGGATACTGCCGGTGCTCACTCACCTTCTACCTGAACAAGCACTTGTCTGGACAGAGCAGGAGTGTGGTCTGGCTATGTTTGATCTTCTTGCGCTATCCACCTTTAACCATTTGCGCCTGCCCACTTGCTTGCTCCAGCACTTTGTTCATAGCCTTTTCCTCCACCAACCATAGAAATAAAGCCAGATGTTGCTTTGACAGCTGAGAAGGTGGAGAATTTTGTTTTCTCTTGCCAGGAAGAACTCCTCTCTGTTCCTGGTTTGATTGGTTGGACATAATTTTGAGCCATGGAAGGATGAGGTGAAGTAGCAAGAAGGGAGAGAAAGCTATAGAGAATGAAAATTTATTCCTTCCTGCATGAAATAAGGCAATAATTCAGTAGCAACCAATTCAGCTTTTTGAACTAAAATACAAGAACTAGTTTAAATTAAATACTAGAACTTTCAGATAAGCAACAGGAAAAAGAAAATGGGAAACAGGGTATTCCTCCTTTTCTGACCTCCAAATAAAGAGTTTTTTAATCTCCTTCCCACCCCTACCACCTGGGACTAGACAGCCCTTTGATAACAAATTGACAGCACAGCCCCTCCCATATCATCTCAGCTAAAATCAAGCCTGGTTTATAAATGAAGAAGAATCAGATGGAAACTCAATCAGCTATATGACCTAACTGCAAGTGGGAATATTTTCTAATACTCCCTCTCATAAACACGTACAAGAGTAGCAGAGAATAGGCAGAGCAGACTACAGCCTCTTTCTACTCTCTCTGTGGCTGTGCATCATGGTCACATTCAGAAATTTATCATGTAAAGGACAACCAGTTTGTGTGTGAGAATAGTACATTACCCCAGCTTCTCCCCAAAATGCCATTAAGTGAAACTTCAACTTCCACAAAATCTGAGTCTGGACGTCTCCCTCAAATAACAGAAAAGTTGGTTGTTTGGGAAATCAGGCCAGACAATTTATGTAAATTTACATATTTCTGGTAAATTTTACATAAATTATATAATGCATAAATACATAAATCTGTATAACTTACATACATTTTACCACAGTTATGCAAATTTAGACTTAATGAACATTTGGATTTAACAGACACCCCTTTCCCCCGATAGTCCATTAAAATGCTGTCTATGTATACAACAACTAATGAGGGAGAAAGACTTGGATTGCAAGAAAAGGAACAAGTGAACCTTAACTTGTCTGAAATTATCCATCCATGTAGACCCAAGATTCTTCAGCCCCTTTTGAAAATGATGCAGATCCATCCTCTCACACAAGCTCCTGAATGAAACTGTTTCTTCACAATACCATCCCCTGTTCAAACCTTCTGCATCTTAGGAGGCAGAATCCAATACGGTAGCATTAACAAACAAGCCACGAGAACCAATATCTGCAGTCCACAAAAGGGACAGTCCACTGAATGATCTCATTGTACTTCATGGAACAGAGCCACAAATGAACTGGTGGCGAGAAGAGGAGAGAGGATACAGGATAAATTCAGATTTGACTGTACAACAGTATAAAAGTTGCAGTGGGAAGGGCTCTATACAACATAGGCACAGAAAATGTGCACTGCAGGCAAAAGCAACTAGGATCAATCCTGGGTATTCCCACTTAGTATCAGCTAACAGGCAATGAGTGAGACTCTTTCTTCACTGAGTTAGACAAGCAGATAAACTCAGGTAAGATAGCTTCTTATATTCTGAAGTCGTGTTTTTCAACCTCAGCAACCTGAAGATGTCTGGACTTCGATTCCTAGAATTCCCCAGCCAGCATGCGGGTTTCTCAGTCGAGGTTGAGAAACATCATTCTAAAGCAACAGCAGTGCTTCAATTCTCCATTCTGAAAGCTCAACATTTTAAGCCCCCTGTATTATATAAGCCACTTCAAGTTTTTATATAATTAGAACAGGGGACAATGAATTTAATAATAATAAAAAACAAAATACATCACAACCAGATATCCAGAGAGATAGTGATGCCTAATCATAAGGGCTTTAGGCAGACCTATTTAAAATATAGAAGTCAGCAACGCAGTGCCCACAACATCCCTACATGGTATCCACAGAACCTCAAAATTTAAAAACAAATACACTGAATTGGCTAAAATCTTACAAAATGACCAAATCTTACAAAATGACCAAATTTCACAAGATGTTTATGTTCAGGTTAGGTGAGATTTTAGCTCTCATATCCAGTATCTAAAGAGACAGACAACCCTTGATCTTTTAACAAGCTGAACCTCAACTAGGCAACCAATATTATCTCAGAAGCAACTTCTTTAAATTCCCCTCAAAACCGTGAATAACCTACCCATTTATTTATTTATTTAGATTATGTCCAATGGAGTTTTCTGAAGGGATTATGATTTCATGTTTATTTCTCATTGAAAATTTGAAGTAAGGGAAGCTGAGAGGTATAGTTGGGTCATGATCCTCTTCCCTTTGTTAAGCAAACTTCTAAGGAAAAAAGGGCAGATACTGCAAAGCCAGATCCTCAGGAAAACAAAATATATGATTCCTTTCCAACAAAGACATGTGATTAGGTCAAACTCACAGCCAGAAATACTCCTATCTCTGCTTTTCTCCAGAATATGCTGTTTTGCCTGCCATCACCCAAATTTCTCCTTATTCTCCAAACTAACACCAAGCATTCATAGCTAAAAAAAGGCTGGGGAAAGGGAAGAATTGCCACCTTAAGTGTTTCTACTACTACATTCTGTAAAGCATAAAACTCCCTAGACCGCACTGATCCTTCCTGTATTATTTCTCATAGTTTAGTTTCACTTCTGTCAATATGTGCTACCGAGTTCAGTTACAGGGACTTGTTCATCTAAAGGAACATACTGAGACTTCTGCAGGTCCTTCTGCTTTGGCACTCAATGCAACCATTTTGCTTATTGTGAACAGTTCAGCTTTTCAAGAGCAAACCTCCTGCTATGCTTATAAGAAGACCCAGCTGCGTTTTGTTTTATGTTTTTTTTTCTTTTGGAGTGGGGAGGACAATTTTGCAGCTACCCATTAAGGGTCATCAAGTATACTGTTTTTGGTTCCTCTTGATCTGTTTGCTCTACAGCTCAGCACCAACTACTATAAACTCTTAAGAGCTAGTTCAAGTGCTCAGTAGAACCTCTGATGAATTTCTGGAATTCGTTCCCTACTTCCTAGAAATCATACCAAGAAAATCCAGCATTCTAATGCCTTCATTTTTGACAGATGAAACTTTTCTAAATTGTGTGTGATGGGTCACAGTATCCACCTCCAATCTTCTACGTATCAATGAGAGGTGCAGCAGGTTTGCTCTGCATTCTTTTTGACTGCTGGCACCTTGAGCAACCAAAACACTTCGCCCACCACACACAGGCACCCCATCTGCCTTGTGCCTGACAATACTTCTGAATGGGTACCATGAAAAGAAGAGGCTGCACTCCTGCCAAAGGCCAGACATGACCCTGTTCTTTCTGGGACACAATCACAAAGCCCTCGTTAAAATGCATATGGCTGGCAGCAGGTCCAGGGTGTAATTAGGACATTGTCCAAGGACTATGGAAGGGGTGCAAGAGAGACTATACAATACACTGTAGATGTACTGGTGCCTTGAAACGCAAGCCAAGCCATTTCAGCCCAATTATTAAAAAAAAGAAAAGAAGTGAAAAGAAGATGGGAAGGCAGCCAAATGCAAAGAAATGCACATATTGAAGTAAATACCCCTCCACAAAAGTACAAGCAGCCTAGCATGACAAGCAGAAGGGGCAGCTGCTTCTTCCAACTCATTACAGCAGGACAATGGACCACCAATGGCCTCAGTGGATGACCCTTAAGAGGTAGAGAATATGAAGTGTTCCATAAAAAAAGGACTGAAATAAAGAATAGAATCAGTGGCAGGAGAGCACAGGAATCTGCCTTATCCCAGATATAATCATGCTGAAGCTCTATTTGTTCAAACCATGATTTGCTGAACAACCCACAGTGGCTGGGTCCACATATCATTCTAAGCCAAAACCAAAAGTGAAACCCAGCCACTGACTCCATGAGACAGAGAGGTCATCCATGTCATTTGCTATACTATCCATTTAACTTGCAACGTCAGACTTTCTAGAAATAAAAGGACTGTCTAGAAATAAAGTCTTTACTCCATTGTTATGTTCTCATCTTTGAAGAGGAAATCACTGCTCTTGAACCATTATGATATGCAGTCAAGAGCAGTAAAGTTTTGTCCAAGTTGGAATGAAAATAGAGGCAGAATGGAATCAGCTCCAGGGTAGACCAGCAGATAATTCTGGGAACAGAAAGCAGGTACAAGAGGTGCAGAGATCAAACTGAATAAAAATATTTAAAACCCAGCAGCACAAAAAGCCAAATACTATTAGCCTACCCAGTGGATAAAAGACTCAAAAAAGTCTGAACGAGTTTGACAGTAATTCTCCACCACATCTTCCCAAGGTCTGCCATGAACCTGACCAAACATAAGTATCACGTGATGCAACACAGCCTTACTTGCTGCATTTTTTCCAGATCGAGACTGGGCCTCCCAACTTTGTCACCATAGCCCTGTCGGTGTCGTTTGCATGGCATCCCTTGCTCAAAGCTGCCTCCGACGCTCGTAAAAATTATAGGCCGGGATGTCGTGGTCCGTACCAAGGACTGCAGTCTCTTGGGAGGTGAGGCACTGAAGAGCACTGGGCTGGGACTGGCACGCAAACCCTCTACTGCTTCGACCACAGGTCGGAAGGACTTGCCACACAAGGTCTTCACTTCCTCATCACTGGAGGAGGTATTACAGCTGTCACTACAGCAGCCAAGCCTGCTGACCTGAGACCACTTCCGCTTCTCAGCAGCAAATTCACGGGTGATACATTCCAACTCCTCTTCAGAGCTATGGCGGTCCAGCCCAGGAGGAAAATGGGCCCGCACCTTGCAGCACTGATTTTCTTGATTTTGCAGCTGATTGGTCGCCAGGGGGGTCAAGTTGCAATTCCGTCTTCTCTCTGAGGAAATATATAAAACAGTGATAGGGAAGATCTTAATGTAGCCTACCACAGTGATGAGAAACTAGTAGCTCCATTCCCCATTCCTTCTATCAAATAAGTACTTCATCCTAGACACTGGAAGGAGTTAGATCTTCCCCTAAGACTGGCAGGCAGGCAGGAAAGTTTAGCACCCCTGGAATCATCAGGAAAGTGAATGCTCTTGTATTCAAGGAGGACTGGCACACTCACACAGAGATAGAAGGACATGCTATTTCCCAGGACCCGCCAAGACCCAGTCAGCTACAAATATCTGATGCCTCTTGGAAACAGAACTTTGCACAGAGGGGGAACCGATTAGTTTGTGAGGAGAGGATGGGGACAATACACACTGAGGATAAATGCAAAACAGCTGGGTGCGCAAAAAACCATCTTCACAGCATGAGTGAAATTTTATGAAATAAGGCTATACTTCTATATGATGGAAGAAAGTAAGAGTTGAAGCAAAAAGCCTACTTTTGAGTACTCAAGTAGTAGCTATGTATAATTCAGAACCCAAGCTCCACTTTTCCACCCAGATGTACACATTGACAAAATACTCCAGTGCTTGTTGACCAATCTATGTATTCATGGCAGACAAAACCTTATACTACTTTAGTATTTTACAAAAAGAAAAAAACTCATCTCCAATCCCTATTAATTTGGGTAACATGCAGTGCTAACACAAAATGTGATTAGTTTGGTTTGGGCTTAATGATTTAGGTGAAACCAATGAATATAACTTGTAACACGTAGTTGATGGATTAGTGTATTGTGTAAACCCAGCCAATTATAATTTATTCAATACACCACGTTCACAGAAACTATGACTTAGCATGATGTGCAAATTCTGTCAGTGGTTGTATCTCAGGTTACCACAAATAGAAGGACACTAAACTAACGGAGTTTTCTTTTGGTAGAATGAAAGAGAAGCAATTTTGGCTAATCTCTCCTACAGCTCCTAACACTACCTTCACATGAAGAAGCTCACCAGGCAGAAACACCTGAAAACAAGGCATATAACATATAAACATAAACATATAAATGTCCAAATCCTAGACAAAGATCGTAGGACCACAGCTAGTTTCTCAGATTTGGCACAAGATCCACAGCAGAATCCCCAACCATCCATAAAGCTTATTGGCTATTATTGCTCCCACCATCATCTATCATCCCACCTTAACTTCCTTGTTCCAAGGATAAAATCAAGCAACATGCCCATGTACATCACTCTACGAAGGAAGAATGGACAACCAATACAAATAAACTTTTTTAAGAGAAAGTTTTGCTTCTTCAGGTTTTGTAGCAGCACATAGAGTTGCTGTGCAACGGCTCCACAATTATCCCATTAATCTTGACCACTGGCCATGCTAGCTAGAGTTAATAGGAGTTCAGCAAGATCTGGAAGGCATCAAATTTGAGAAGACTGCTGGACAGGAAATTCTTAGTTTCAGGGAAGATGAAATTAGCCATACAGGATGGGATTACATAAATGATTATAATAAAAGTTGACAGAACATGCACTAGAAAGCAAACACCTGGAATTAACAGTGAAACATTCTCAGTAGGTTTCCTAAATACTGGGACACTTTACCTCTGTCAATTTGAGCAAGTTCCTGGTTCTCTCCCTCAGAATCATCACTATCTTCCTCATCACTTGGTGTGTAGGAAATCTAGGAGAAAATATATGTTTAAAAATCATTCAACATGAAAGGTGAATGGGCAAATTATACTAGTTGCCTGTTTCATTTTCATAATGTTCCTTTATGAGAGCATATTCCTTCTTATACCCAAATTAATCTCAATTTTTACATGAAAAAAACCTTAACAAAAATGTTGGTTTCAGCAACTTCTTTTCAACGTCTCCTTTTTGCACATGATGTATTTCGAAATTATTTGATACCCCAGAGGGAGAACCACATTGCCAATTTTGGAGATCCAACGGCTCCACGCATTCCAAATCACACATCAGTTTGAAAGGTCCAGAGCAGAACCATTCATAAGAGAATCTGCAAATAATGCATTCATTTGGCATCCTTAACATGAAAACCAACACACTTCCATCTCCTGCTATCTTCATGTAGCACAAACCTCAGTTCAACACAATTTGTACATAAACAACATAGTCCACATTAGGTAAAATTCTTTTACATGTTTCCTTGTCAGAGGTATGCTATTTAACAACAGAAGGACTCTCTTAGATGCAGTGCCGCACCTATGGACTAACCTCCCTGAAGCAGTTCGCCTGGCAACAAATCTGTTCATCACCAAGCACGAGTATTCTTATTCACTCAGGCATTCTAATTTACTATAATTTGTTTTTTTTATAATGATCTGATCTGACGTCTTTGGTGTTATATTGTTACACAGTTGGTTGAATACTACCTGGAATGTTAAACTTGTAAAGTATTTCTATATATGCTATAAGCACACATACAGATCCAGTCAAAAAAATCTGAAAGTTGGTTAACTGGTGCATCTCAATGCAACCTCCCCAACTTGGAGCTCCTCAATAGCCATGATGGCTGAAGATGAGCTGTGATCTAGCAGCTTGGGGAAAGCTGGTTGAAAGTATCTTTGCCATATTATATGCATATTTCTTCCTCAAGAACCTCCAAGAGAAATCTATAATCTTTGTAGTTGGCTTGCTCCACTGTTATATTGCTTCTGACAGCTACTTCTCAATTTTCATCTATCCCTTCTTTCCTTAGCTTCACTAGATACAACATATTTGGAAATATTCTTGATATCCTTGCAAGATCAGCTTTTGCTTTCTTAGTAACAGTGTGCCTTGTAGCTTTCCTATCATCTTCAAATCCAGTTTGGAATGTCAAAAACCCAATAACCCACTTCAAAATCTCATTAGTATTGAAAACCACCCTTCTGTTCTGTCATTTGAAATATCTTAGAAACTGTTCCATTTGTCCACGTTTGCTGCTGTCTGATTCTCTTACAATTTAGTGCTCTCTGCCCACCAGCCAAAAAAAAAAAAAAAAGGAAGATTAATATATGATGGCTTGGTAATAATCTTAATTGCACAGGTTAGAATGTTCCTAACAACCCTCACATTTACTACCACTTCTCCATTTTGTGAAACTGATTATAGTACATGTGTTGGTACACTAGCTGATGGTTGGAGAACCATGAAGTTGTTGATTTGTGGTAACTGGTTTTATCTTGATTGCTACCATACATATTGATGTTTTATGTTGTTTGCATTTTGATTTTAAACGTTGTTAACTTCCCAAATAAATAAATAAATAAAATCTGGAAACATGCTAAGAGTTAATGATCAGGTGGTATTCAGGACCTCTTTACTTCCATCGTTACAATTATTGTCAACAGAAACACTGTGAAGTATATTAGTACCTATTTAATATTACCTTCATGTTCCAAAGAATAATTACTATTTCAAGGCCACACAGTTAATCTATGGCTCAAAAAAGCTGCAAATCTTATACAACGAATTAGCAGCTTTCGGAGCATGCAGCTATCCTAGAGGTTATAATACCAGAGATAGAGTGGGGGTTAACTCATTATGTAATAATCCTGATGGGAGATAGCTAAAAGAACATAAAAGCCACAGATGTGTAAAATACTTAATTGAAATTCACATATCATCAAGTATGGCCTTTATTCATGATGCACAGAAAATATTATTTTAACGAACTCTAATAGCAACAGAAGAGAATATCTGTAGCTCAGGGTTGAACTGTGGAGTCCTTGGTGCTCTCTGAGCTTGGCTGTTTGATTGCAAATGTTTTATTACCCAACTAGGCATCATCATGATTAACAGCTCAGAAATCAAAAGACAAAGATTTGTGCTTTTGAGTTCCATATTCTGTTTACATTGGAGTTTCTGGTTAGTTTAACAGCTGCTAAAAAGGTATAGTAACTGTACAAAACACCTGATATTGTATAAAATAATGTCAATGTTACAAAATACTATTGGACATGCAAATTTAATTGTAGAAAGCTAAAGAGCATGCTATTTTGGAGATCAGACAAGGACACTATTCTAGTTCGCCTTCCTTCTCACCACCAAAGAGATATGGGGCTCCCAGTTTCATCCAGATACAATGAGGAATAATGCCTATGTTTGTGGATGGCAATAAATGACACTATCCACACAGCTTTCTATTTTTGGTTTGGCTTAGTTCTGTTCAATTTCCACACTTTATGGATAATTCATGTATTTACTGCAACTCTGAAGTTAATTTTTTTCCCCAAAAACACCTGCTTATGCTGCCAAACCATACTTTCCATCTTTACCTTCTCCAAAAAGAGTTATACAGTACAGAATATAGCTCACTATTAAAGCTAGCCTGGATTTTCATACACGCAATTTTAAAATGTAATTAATTTACAACTGTACTGCTTTGTGTGTTGTTCTCAAATAGAGAGAGAGGGGTTTTCTTGACATCTCCGATAACATCCAAGGGTTAAGGGGCCATTATGTCCTCAATTCCACGTTGTTAAAGTCAAGTGATTTCCCATTGTCATACTCTTCTCATTGGCAGGGAAGATACAGCCTCACTCCCAACTCATTAAATGGTACAAGCAGAAAAGGAGCAAGTATTCCTTCTCCAAAGGTACAACTGGCACAACCAGAGGCTGGGATATTTCAATTCCTTGGAGAGACCTGAGACATTTCACAATCTTCACCAGATAATAGTTCCCCAAATCTTCCAAAAAGCCGTAACAGTTAACACAGGCATACCACAGAAAGGATTAGCAAGTACTGTATATCTCTCACACTCTGTGACTCAGTCAACCCATTTCATCAGAATTCTTTGTTATTCTCAGGAAACCACCTCCATGACATGTCTGTCCCTAAACTTTTTCAACTTTAGTTAACATAACTTTTAAAAACTGGTGCCTAAGTGCTTCCATTTTCCTTTTCCCTCCATATTTTTTTTTTCCTGTGACGTTGTGTTTTATGTAATAAATGTGAGGGCAGGGAATGTATAGTATTATTTAAGAACAGCCACTCTGGCAACCCCAATGAGCTAACACAAAGACATTTGGAAGCATGGTATCTTAAGAGACCAGAAATATTTTCAAGAACTTAAGAATCCCATACACAATAACTTAAAATTTTAAGTAAGAAGCATGCATATTTTTTAGAGCTGCCTCTTCAAACCCAACAATGCTCCAGCTATTCAGGGATAGAACTTCGCCTCTAGCCATCTCTCATATGCCTTCAAACATTTTTGCTCCCACTCAAGTCTAGAAAATGCTTACATTTCCCTGAATACGGTAGTAATTTTTGCCATACAACCGTAAGATAATGAAACCCAAAGAAGAGAACAAGTTAAAATGTTTAAGGCACTTTTACGATTGATTCCTCTCCCAAATTTGGGAGCAGAGGCTCAAGAATATATTAGTTAAGAACATAACCAGGTGCCTTCCACGTATGCAGAAAGCTCAAGAAGCATTACTCCAAGACCATTGGAAGCACACCACTCCTAGAACTCAACTGAAATTTCTTCTAAGCTGATTTGTCTGAGAATTTTCTGTCATCTATTTATGCTAGAAAAAGACCATTAAAAATGGCAACAAGTTCCAGACCTTTGCAGAGGACACAGAATGACAGATATACTGCCAGTACTGTTGCTACTGCTATAGTGAACAGCAGCAGCAACAGAAAAAGAAAGAGCATCCCGCTGCCCTTATTAACAGTGAGCCCCATGAAGAAGGAATTGGTTTCTTTTTGGTTTAACATGATGTGCGAACAACTTATCACATTACATTAATGTAGCCACTGTTAAGGATGTGAAAATGTATGAAGACCTGTGCCAGATCCGACCAGAATCTTATCTATTCCAGCATCCTGGTTCCACTATGGCTAACCAGATATATCTGGAAAGCCCATAAACAAGCTATCCAGACAACTGAACACTTTCACTCATATACCCCAAATGAAAGTTCCTTTTTGTTTTAACCACAATAAATAACCTGGGCTCAGCAGCAAACTTGGACATTGTACTGTTGACCCCTAACTATAAATAATTTGTGAACAGGTAAAAAAGAAAAAGAAAATCCTTGTAAAATCCCAGTGTGTCTCTCTCCCCTTGGGAGAACTTTTCATTTATGTTCATGTCTTTCTTTTTTTTTAATTACAAATTATATGCACCTCTTGATAGTTCACAGAAAATCTTGATGTGTGAACCTAAGTTTTCACATAATACTGTAGCCCATAATTAACTGAACAATGGTCTACGAAATCAATCCAAGAGCTTGGGTTTATACAGTGCTCTGATCACCAAATAGCCAATCACATTTAGCTTTCCATACTACTGACTATCTGTCAATCCAGATAGACAAAAATAATCTAGCATCCAGTCCATTCTTTCTATGCTGCAGCCTTGAGAAAGCTTCAAGCAGCTATCATTTGCATCCATAATACTGAAACTGCGATACTTATGCAATGAAGGTATTACTTATCAATACCTCTTTTTAAAATATTGTGATGATGAAGCAAAGGACTATAGAATATTTATATGGAACATAAACCTTGGAAGAAATCAGATTATTTATGATGTTGATAGGCTAAGGCCTTGAAAACCTGGTTTTGTTGTCAACCTTGGGGCCCTGGATGTGTAGCTTAGCCCATATCTTGGTTGTGTTAATTGCTGTTGTTGGTTGGTTTTTCTTGGATGCTATATATGTTATTTATAATTTTGTTATGTGGTTTTTATCTTGTTTTTAAATATTTTTAGCTGCCCAGAATCATACATTTGAGATGGGCAGCCATACAAATTGAAATACATTGAATTAAAGAAATAAATAAAAAAGGCTAATTTCAAAATGTATTTCCACGAAGTTCAAAAACTCAAGAATTAGCTCACGCACAGGTGTCTCTGGGGCAGGTGCCTGGGAGGCAAATACTAAAATATGTATGATAACTTCATCACACAAATGCTATGATTTATGCACTTGTATCAGATGTCAAGATGCAACTATAGTACATAATGGTGTTATTTGTGTAATGGTAACACTGCACTCATGTCATTTTGGTGTCACTGAGGTTTGCTGAGGATACCATTGATTGCCTTACAGATTTTCTGCATAAAAACCTATCATTTACAACAGCATGATAGGACCTGATTAAATAGCAAGGAAGCTAAGCTGCTAATTATAAATTAGAAACCATTAAAATAAAGTTCAGTAATATTAATAAGCTTGCAAAACTTATTTACCTCAGGATCAACATGAAGAATACTTATAACTGTCAAGAACAGAATTTATTTCTGAGTTTACAGGTCCTTATCTCTAGCTGCAAGCATCCACAACATCAATTCATTCTGCTCAATAAACATTTTGGCTAAGCAAGTTCCCTTACCAACAGGCCAGCTCTCTTAATGGTGTTCAGTACTTTTCAATATTCTGCAAGCCATGTAATTTATAACTTTCCTACTTTTATCATCCTCCATTGCCTACTACAGATAGAGCCTACAGATACCAACCTCAAGACAACCACTATGCGATAATGGGCTAGCCATTGCAAAAACCTTTGTAATGGAAGAATAAAACTCATAATTTTTTTTCTCACTCTCATAACAAGATAAAGCTGTGTATGTAGTAACTTAACACTTGAAGATCAACTCATACATGTTCTCATGCACAAATCGATTTCACTCTCTCATTCTCTTTAGAGAATCAATAATTGGTTCAACTACAGACTGAATGATGGTGGAGTGCTGCTTCACACAGTAGTAATCTCCATGGCAGTAATCTATTGGTTGGCTTTTGTTCATTCTATGGTGACATTATAGCATCATGGCATGAAAGTGCCACTCAAATAAAAAGTGGATATTTCATCCTCAAATAAAAAACAGATCCTTAGGCATTCAACACAGGGCAAAAGACTCACTCTTCCATTATTATGATCTTGTTAGGACATCAACACCATCAATTATCATGACTTCAATTAGTATCTAATGATGGCATGACTCCAATTATTACAGCTGAACTTCAAATATTATCTGGGGCAGCCTTTCCAATCTGATTATCTTCCAGATGTGTGGACTTCAACTCCCAGAATTCTCAGCAGTGTCCATACTGGTTGAAGAATACAGGAAGCTGAAGTCCAAATATCTGGAGAATACCATGTTGAGGAAGGCTAATCTTCAGGAAGGTAATCTAGTTAACATTATATTTCAGAGAAAGGAATTTTTAAGGTAATATGAAGTCATAATACCTATGAAAACTTTCTTCTTTTTAAAAAGAAGACAGTGACATATTTAGCATCTGAAATAGGCTGTGCCTGACAGATACAGTAATATTAAAGTCAACAATTTCTTCCAATAGAAGTCAAGAGTGAGGAAATATTTTCCTTACGGGAATTTCTTTCCTAAATAGGAAAAAAAAAAGCTAGCACATGAAGAGTGTTAGAAAAATAGAAAAAGATGTACCCTGTCTGAGAGATACAGGATGGAATCCAAGCGATCAAGACTTTCATCAGCTGAATGAGAAACCTATCAACAAAAAGACCAAGAACATCAGGCAAAACAAAAACCTAAATATTCCGCTCCTACAGTCAGTTCCAATCGTTCTGTTCAACTCAGCAAGTGAACCAAAACCAAGTCTGCAGAAGTAGTAAACTGCACAGGAAGGATTACTCAGCAGACTGGGAATTGGAGAGACGGGAAAACACTCTGCTATTAATAATGGGAAAGGTCACAGCTTATAGGAAAAGCATCCGAAGACATTTTGTTGGTTGAGCCAAAGCAAACAAAAGCAGAACCTCCCATCAATCTGCACAATACTGGATGTTAGGTAAGTTATTTTGGCCCCCTAAGGCTACTTACAAGTGCCTTCTCCCTTCACTAGGAGCCAACACGGAGCAATGATAAGTTAAATAACTAACAATCTGTCACCATTTTGACACCCAAAATCAAATGCATGAGACAGTTGTCTCATTCTGCTTAATCACAGAGTAAGTGGCAAAAGCCTCCAAAGTCAACTTGGAAGTATCTCCTTCCAAGCTTAAGTCACTTCCAGGCTCCTTAATAATTCTCCAGAAACAACATTTCCAAGGCAAGAAATAGCTGTTCAACTAGCAACAGATAATTATTCTGTTGGCACATGGCCAATACAGGATTGGTTTTAAATCCCTTCCTTGTTTGTTCGTTCTTACAATGGTTGATTGGTTGTTACTCGTTAAAGTCAACAATATAAAGAAATACTGTTCAATGCCCATCGGACTCAAGAACAACTGAAGAAGCAGGTTGGCCCTCTGCCTTCTTTGCCCTGCCAAGTCAGATGGGAGCTCATATATCCTGGCAAATGTCCACTACTATTCAGGATATGCTGCCTTGAGGAAATTATGGGAGTGATAGTTCCATTCTGGGGTCAAGCAGCTCTGTTTTATAACAAATATGTAATATTTATAGAGCAGTTTACAAAAGTTTCCTTCAAGTTGAGCTCCACTTCATGCATATGTCCATGTAGTTGTCTTGGCAATAGTACAGCAGTGGTTTGTCACTGCTTTCTTTTGGGATGTTCCTGGGTTCTCCCATTCAAATACTAACCAGGTCCAAACCGGCTTAGCTTTTCAAGACTTCAACTGCTGGCTTTTAGAAAATTAGTTATAGTACAACATGTTTCAGTGCCAGGGGGAAGGTGGGACATACATCCTGGAATGTAAAACCAAAACAGTGAGTCTTGCTGTGAATAGCCTCCTGCCCCAATAGTCCTTTGTCTCAGTGGAGGCAAGGAGAACAGTCATCGCTCCCCCATAATAGTCCTGACTCCCCTACTGGCTGACTCAAAGATATTGGGCTTATTTTAACATCTCATGTTTTGAAAGTTGGGAGTAAATAAAGACAGTCCTCTAGCCATTCTGTGCATCTATCTGAATTGCTGATAATGAAGCCTAGAAGCTAATGCCAGGGATTCCTATTTATGCATATGGAACCTTCTGAGATCACCATTAGCACTTCCATGGACTAGACTTTGACCCCATGCAAACAGAAGAAAGATTCTATGCAAAACTTTCACATTCTCAAGCTATTTACCAATGAATTCAAAATATGCTAGCCAGCCAAATTGGAAGCAAGAAAATATGTACAGTATACATGAATAAAATGGCAAGTATGAATGAGTGAAATTATTACACAGCTGGATATGCAAAAGCATTCAAAAGCAAGAAGCCATTTTGTTCATACAAATGCATGTTTCAGCATGTGTCTGTATCAAGTGGGCACCATCATTATTTCTGACTACTATTCTTTGTATTGTGAAATTTGACATACCTAATTTTCAGATGCTCCAAAACCCTAGTATTGTTAGCTGCAAAATAAAATCAGTGGCCAACTGATTCTATTTCTTTAACTGGAATCACTTGAAAGTGAAAAGAGGGTGGAGGGGAAAGATGCAAAACCCAAGGCTTTAAAATATTAGATTTCTTCCTCCTGCATGGGACTCTCCTCCCCTTCTCCAGTAGGTTTTTTTTTTTTTTAATTAAAAAGAATCAATGGCAGGTTTACAAAAATTTAGTTCTCTGAAGCACAACCCACTTTAAAACCAAATCTTGACATACTGCAGATATTTAATGCACTGCAAACCCATTCTAGATTTATGGGTTCAAAGAGGCATTCTCAGTAATAGGGTCTCAAATAGGAGAGCAACTGCTACTTTTTTTCCTCAGAGATATATATGGATAATAATCATGGTTCCAAGCTCTAATGATATCAGGAAGAGCTTTGCTAAGCACTTTGGATATGCATATGACCCTATTTAACATTTATATTTCATTACTGGGGTGGAGGAGGTAGAGAAGGGGGATTCAGACTGCAGAGCAGGAAAAAGTATACGGTCTTTGTTTTAAAGATTGTAAAGAAGAAGGTGCAAAAAGCTGGCTTCAGATCCAGTTCCATCTTACATGCAAAAGCAAACATCCAGCAAGAATAGGTTCCATAGCCTGCAGTTAATCTACAGCGCTGATTTCATAAGTCCAGCTCTTACCAGGGACTTAAGAGCCATGCAGTTCAACCGTAGGTATATTTAGCCAGAAGCTAGTCTTAGCCCTCAGGATGATGCTTCTCAGCACTTGGAAAGGACTAGTTTGCAGAACACAACTCGATTTTCACAAGGAGCTTTCCCAACTTCTCCCAGATCGATGGGTTTCAAAAGCACCAATATAAATATATCCCTGGGAAAGCGGTCTCTCTACCTTAAATTCCTTAAAAAAAAAAAAAAAAAAGGTTTACAACCATGAGCGCTGATATAAGGCTTTGTATCCAGGCTGCCGAAGATAGTTAGGCCTTTATCATACCAGTATCTGTCGCCCGAGAACAACTTGATATTCAAAGGAACAGGCCTCAGTTCTTCGCCTGCAGACCTGCTCTCCCTCTTTTAAGTCTCCCAGCGAGCGGGGTGCCAGTGGAAATTGCACCCCGGTTGTAACTAATGCCTACTGGCTACTTAGCCACTGCTAAGTTCCACTAAGAGGTGTACTTCCTTGGGGATTTTTACATTCGTATTTTCTTCTTCTTACCTTCAACTGGAAGGGCTGAATCTCATTCAAACTTTGATTCCTGAGCTTCTTCGTAAGGATCTTGAGCATGGTACAAATCCAAAGAGCCAGGGAAGAGTTCAGCACGCACCCGCGTCCAGAGCTGCTGCTGCCGCTGCGGTCAGCTTAGAGAGGCCAGGCGCTGAACAGTCGCGCTGAGCGGCTGCAGGTACACCCAACTTGTAGCTCGAGTGGCATATGATCTACCGAGAAACGCGATCTTGCGCCTTTCTTCCTTTTGCACCCCTATAACATCCTGGCTCTGGTTGCTAGCGCACAACTTCCTCCCTCGTCTGCTCCGCTGAAACAACTAACTGGTTTTTCAAAGGGCGAATGTCTTGCTTTTCCCAGCTGCAGCAAAGGACGCCGAGGTAGAAGCCCCGACAGCAGCTGGCAGGGTTTCTATTGCAAGGGACAGGAGGGCATTGGACGCCGAAAGAGTTAAAGAAGAGATGAGAAAGCTTTCGAAACTGAGGCCCGGAGCTCTGCTCATGCTCACGGTCTAATATGCCCTCTCTCTCCTTTCCCTGCACATTGCCGGTCGCTCCCGCGCGCTCCTCTTTCCCCTCTCCTCTCCTTTCCCTTTCCTTTTTCCACGCTCTGCTCGCTCGCGCGCACGACCGCCTTTCTTTCTGTCTTCGGCGTCCTCGCTATCTGAAACTTGTAACAAACAGGACCCGAAGACCAGGCGCCGATTGGACAGCCAAGGCGGACTATGTCAATTTCAGGGGGCTGGGTTTCCATTTAAAGGGAAACCAAAAGAAGAGCTGAGCAGGTATCGCTGTTTCCTTTCCCCCGCGCAAGCAGGTTGCTGCCGATCCGGAGGGAAAGACGCAGGTTGCCCTGCCTCTCCTTCGCGTTGAAAGCATTTTTCCCCTTGGAAGGTAAGGCGCTGGCAGCGCCAGAAGCAGCCAGAGATGCAGAATTAAAACCTTACAGGGTTTCCTCCTCTCTCCTGTGTAATCTCGGGTTTCTTCCTTATAGCATCGCTCTGTACGGGCGTGGATGCATCTTTTAGCAGTTAAAAAAAAAAAATAGAGATTTTAATCATCCTCCTCTTTGCATTATGTCCTCCAGTTAGGGATTTCAAGTCCCTTATTTCTCATTACTCCATTCTATTAATTCATAATAATATGGGGTATTTAAAAGGGGAAGCTTATTATTATTATTATTAATAATAATAATATTACAGTATATCATAATTAGAAAGAGAATTTATAATAACTATACATGATAAAAGCATCATCATTTTGTTGGACTACAGTTCCCAGAAATCCCAGCTATTATTATTATATGTTAGCTAGGAATTCTGGGAGTTGCAGCTCAGTGATAATGGAATACCCCAGGTTGGAAAAGGTTGACTGATTTGTAGCTAGAGATCTAGGTAATGCACAGCAATGGAGGGGGTGTAGCTCAGAGAGAGAGAGGACCCTCAAACCTCAGTGAGAAAAGCCTGAACAAGCATGGGAATGACACATCTTGCTTACTTTCTAAAATGAGCTGTAAAGAAAAGGATCTTGAGGGTTCATACTAACTGATACTGTACTCAAAACAATAAAAGCAACAATTAAATTATGAAAGTTGCATATTAATAGCAGTGAGGACTGGAGCCCCAAACCTAAACAGAATAGAAGCCATTTTTGCAGTTCCAACCTGATGCACTCCATCCTTTTAAGCCACCATCTGAACAAACCAAATACTTAAAGGAATGTCTATTCAAAATTGTGAATTGCTGTTTTATTTGACAGTGTTTATAGACTGCCCCAGTCTATAATGCCCCATCACAGTAAATGAGTCCCCTCCCCAAAAGGAAGATCAGAGGAACAAAAAACCTGTTTGCCTACATTACCATATTCACAACAAATCTAGGACAGATTTTGCTTTTAAAAAGAAAATTAATACGGGGTAAAGGAGGGGACTATTCTTCCTTTCCTACATAAAATACCTTGATGGATTGATTATGTACCATCAAATTGGTATTGACTCCATATAGTGACCATATAGATTTCTCTCCCATGACAATCAGTCCCCAACCTGGTCGTTCCAATGCTGCATCCATTGCCACTGTGGCTCAGTCCATTCACCTTGCTGTTGGTTGTCCTCTTCTTCTCTTTCCGGCTACCTTTCCCAACATTAGAGTTTTCTCCAAAGAGCTAGGTCTTTCCATAATATGTCCAAAGTAGAATAATTTGAGCCTGGTCATTTGTGCCTTCAGTGAGAACTCTGGATTGGTTTATTCAGCTGTGCATTCCCCCCCCCCCTTTGGCTGCCATGGTATTCTAAGGAGTCTTCTCCAACACCAAAGTTCAAAAGCATCAATACTCTTTCTATCCTGATTCTTCAAAGTCCAACTTGCACTCTCATAGAGAGTCACAGGGAATGCCACAGATTGCACTATTCTGATTTTTGTAGGTATAGACACATCACAGTATCTGAATATCTTTTCCTAGTCTGCAACATATTTCTTGACTGCTGGTTCCTTTACTGTTGATGGTTGATCCTAAAAGGCACAAGCTATCCACCATTTCAGTATCTTCATTGTCAACTCTAAGGCTGGTGGTTGTACCTGTAGTCATTCATTTGACCTTTTTTACATTTAATTTAGCCCATTTTTTCACTGTGCCCTTTAACTTTTATTACTAGAGTTTGCAGATCCTTTGATATTCAGTTATCAGGGTAGTGTCATCAGCATAGCTCAGGCTATTGATATTTCTTCCTCCAATTTTAAAACCACACTCATCTTCTTCCAATCCAGCTTCCCTTAATATATGTTCAGCATATAGATTGAATAAATAAGGGAAGAGTATACAGCTTTGTCTCACTCTTACTGCCATAGTTTCTTCTACATTCCTACTCTACTCACAGTGAAGGGGGCTGGTGGAATGCTTCTCACGATAGTCTAGATGATGTATACATATCTTGCTGCAATTGCCAATGCCCAGCCTGAATAACTGAGTTATTCAGACACTCAACATTGCTCAGTCATTCAGTAATCACCATCATTAGATAGGCCTGTTATGATCCAGTAACAGCCGTGTAGCCATGGAAGAATACTGCACCCACCCATCCATTTACTCACCCCTCAGTCTCTCACTCTTGGCTATAGCTACTATGGAGCAATAAGGAAGAGTGTTCCTTCACTAAAGAGAGGCCCCACTCACACTTTTCACATTTGAATAAAGCCAAAGCAATGATATAGAGGATGTTTACCCAGAACATTAATCAGTACACAGCCTTGCTGACCATCCAGTTCATGAACCCTTGCAGAAGTTCCAAAGGAAATTTGCTGATCTTCAAGGGAATACACCCCAACCTTTTCTGGGCCGTTGAGCACATTTGACATTTTAACAGCATGTCATAGGTGCTTAAAGAAAATGGATGCCCTGGGAAGCTTTCCTGCTCAAAAAATGGCTGCTTTAGTGGTACAATCAGTCACAAAGCCGCAGTTGAGGGCTCCCAGACCTGGGCTGTTAAAATCCATTCGATAGCAGCAAGGAGTTAAAATATATCTTTGCTGTTATTGCATTTTTGTAGGTGCCTGAAGCTGTTACATCCGTGGCATATCCGATAAATTACTTAGGGCTCCCAGACCTGGGCTGTTAAAATCCATTCGATAGCAGCAAGGAGTTAAAATATATCTTTGCTGCTATCTAGTAGTAGTCTGGATTTTTGCAGCCCAGGTCTGGGAGCCCTAAGTAATTTATCGGATATGCCACGGATGTAACAGCTTCAGGCACCTACAAAAATGCAATAAATATATGCATAGAAACAACACTGAAACTATAAGCAATATGAAACATACTTCAAAAGTAATATTTAAAGGACTGGGCAAATAAATACATTTTAAGCCATCTTCCAAAATGCAAGAAAAAGGAGGATTGATTCAATGCTTTACTTACTTCAAAATGTAGCAAATCTTTCCCACAGTGATTGGAAGCTCTTCAGGCTTGTCCTGACGTCACCACCGCTGTCCTCTTCACATCACACTGCTACTAACATTTTCAGAATGTTTATGAGACTAATTTTCCATTCCTTTCTGTCTGGAAATGGTTAACTATTTTATTTTATTTTATTTTATTTTTATTTATTTATTTATTTATTTAATCAAATTTCTCCCCCCGCCCATCTCCCCCCAATGAT